TTCTGAGTTTTGATGATTTTTCCCAAAATTGGCCACGAGGCGCAGCAAGTTGCGGGACTAGGTGACTTGCACCATAGATAATCTGGATCCAGATGAAATCCTTGACCTTCTTGTGGCTTGTGATGAATTAAACTTTAATGAATTAATTGAGAATTTACAAAATCATTTAATTATTGAAAAAAATAAATGGGTTCAGGAAAACCTAATTCACATTTATAAAATTTCATCCAAGTATCAATCATTCAACCTACTTCAACATTATTGTGGTAAATTATTTGATGAAAATCCAAAATCATTTTTAAAGTCTAATGATGTTGCGGCAATAGAAGAATCAATGATTATAACTATATTGAAAAGTGATGAATTGGAAATGAATGAAATTGAAATTTGGGATTGCATTATTCAATGGGGAATAGGACAAAATGAAACCCCCATTTCGAAGTGGAATAAAGATGATTTCAAAGAATTAAAAAATACTTTAAAAGATATTATTCCATTGGTAAGGTTCAATCAAATCACTTTTAACGATTTTCATAAAAAAATTGCACCATTTGAAAAATTTTTAATAAAGAAGTTTATAAAGAAATTCTTGAATATTATCATAATGATGAATGGCAGCCAATTTTACTACTTCGAAAAGGTTCAAGAATGAAATTATTAAGTTTAGAAATGAAATCCTTAATTTCTAACTGGATCAATCAAACACATGGCTTGAACAATGTAAACAACTTGCCATATAAATTTAATTTGATTCTCAGTGGATCTCAAGATGGCTTTTCAAGGTCTGTTTTTGAGGAGAAATGTTACAATATTGAACAAACAATTGTTATAATTAAAATCAAAGAAACAGGAGAATTGGTTGGTGGATATAAACCAGTTTGTTGGAATTTAAAAGAAAAATCATCAAATGAAAATTATTGGATTGAGACAGACAAAAGTTTTATTTTCAAGATTGATCAAAACGAAATAAATAATTCAATAATAAGTAAAGTCAAAGCTCCTGAAGGTGCAATATATCATAATAAGAAGAGTATTAATTTTACTGAAGATGGTATACGATTTCATGAAAGGCTTGTAGATTTTAATGATTTAGACATATGTAACAGTATTAATAATGAACCTTATTTTTTTTATGTATTTCGTAATTATTATTCTTATCAAAATGATTTAAATATTAGAAATAATAACAAAAAATTTCATTTGTTAGAGGAACTTGAAGTATACAAGTTAGTAATGGAAAGCAATTAGGATCATTGAATTTAATGTTAAATCACGTGTTCTGTCTATGAAAAATTTTCAAAACTCAACATCAATTCTAAAACAATTGTAAATTATTTAACAAACTAGTTGAACGAGCCTAACTATTACAATAAGTTGGCACTCCATGAGAGAGGCCCATCAATTTAATAGGTTTCTATTTCTAGTAATATCTCTGACTGTATAATTAAAGCTTTTGCATATGACCATCTTTCAATTACATAAAATGAATTTTCAATCCTTTTTAATAGGTCTCTCCTCATAGTAAAGTCACTTGAATTTCCCAAACCTGCAAGGTTGTACCTAGGGTTACAAACAGATCTGATCTGATCCGAAATATCTTATGTATGAATAATAATAATAATAATAAAACTTTTTGAAATTATTATTTCATGAACTAAAGAAAACTACTTGTGAATTAAGGATTTTATGTTATAATGTGCTTTTTTGGAAACTGTCATTTTGAAAATTTGATTATAGGTTATCATATCAGAAATATCTGCATTTGAAGGAATGTTGGTATTAATGATGTATGACAAAATTTTTCATTGACATGATTAAATGTAGCTTCTCACCAAGGACCATTTTGACGATTTAATTAAGCAAAAACCCTTGACACAAGTAAAAAAGTCAAACCATTCATGAAAGTAGTAAATAGAAAAAATGATTAAAGTAAAATAATTAATTTTTATTAAACACGAACCTGAAATCATGAAAAAAACATTGGCATATTTGTAAATTGTAATCAAATTATTCCATTTCAAGTATGGTGGTTTATGAATCATATAGTTAACCATCAAATATTATAACTAAGTGATGGTGTGTTAAAAACACAAACGTGCAGATCGCTTATGAATCTATGTTTAATCAAATATTAATTTGATAAACAAGTTAATAATTAATTTAAGTGATGACAGTGCATAAAATTCAGATTGCGGAGTGTGCATGCTAACCAAATTTGACAATTATTTTCCAATTCTGCTGAATTTGGTTAGCACAGCACATTCCACACACTAAATTCTATTGATTGGCAAAATGGATCTTTTGGATAATAACTCTCTCACTCAGAATGCAACAGTTATTAAGTGTAGGGTTAAAAAATTCCCATCATTAATTATAACCGAGATCAGAAAAATAAGATCAGAAAAATAGTTTGTGAAAGCAATTGAAACCGTAATCAATAATAAAATAGACAAAAATGTTGTCAGAACTGAAAGCGTTAATGAAGTTAATATTAAGAAAATGATATTATTATCATGTAGTACAAACGTTTGCAGTCTCTTTTTTGATGTATAAAAATAATTTTCATTATAATAATGATAGCTTAAAATACCTGTATTGAAACTACCTTAACAAATTTGTACAACGAAAAAATTGGCGCACTGCAATCCTATTTTATACATTAAGAAATAAAATTCGAAGCAATGGAATTAAAAAATTCAAGTTTTTGAATTCATAGGTTTCACAATTTTTAACTATTTGCAGAATGAGATCGCTTTAATATATAAACGGATGGTTTTGTCGAGGGGAAGAACAAAAAATTTCTTTAAATAAAAAAAAATTTCGTAAAAAAAAAATGGATTTCTCGATCATATTCCAAAAAATACCCCAAGCATTGTCAGCCACCATCAATTATTATCGTTACGGACCACCACAACCATCATGGAACTTGAAGCTTTACTTGATATTCAAAATTATAAAAGGCGAATTTGGATCAACTAACAATCAAACTATCGAGGATGTCCAAAAAATGTATATGGCCAACACGACTCCCGTTAATGGTGTACTTGTAGATGAGCTGTTATTGCCAAATTCACTTCGTAAAGAATCAGAAGTTTACATTGATGATATTTTGAAAGATTATAATCATGTGCTTGTTGATGATTGGAGAAGTGTTAATATTGGGAATGGATTAGAATGTGAATGGGTTTATGTTAAGGAAGAAGAAGAAAACAATAATAAAAAGAAAAAATATGATAAGGTTGTTTTGTATTTACATGGTGGTGGATATATGTTCTTTTCCGCTGGTTCTCATCGTAAATATACTTCTATAATTGCAAAACATACAAATGCAAGACTATTTGGTAATTAAAATTATAATAATAATAACTCGACAAAAAAGAGTTGATCGACTAACAAACACATGATTTTACTTTCTCCAAGTAATAAATTATAGACTTTCACCACAAAATCAATTTCCTGCCGCTTTACATGACTCGATAACCGCATACAATTACCTTATTGATCCACCAAAAGATGCTGATTTTCTACCAGTTGATCCTAAAAATATTGTAATCATGGGCGAGAGTGCTGGTGGTGGCCTAACAATGGCAACATTACTGGCTATACGTAATTCAACAAAATCATTACCTTTACCAGCTGGGGCTGTTGTGTGGTCGGCGTGGGTTGATTTAGCTAAGACAACGCAATCAATAAAAGACCCAAGTCTTGATGAATTAGATTATATATCAGATGAACCTTTTCATTATGCAACATCCCCTGCATGGGAAGAATTTGAGCAAAAAGCGAAAGAATTATCAGAAAAAATCCAATTAAATATTGATAATAAACCAAAATTTTGGCACAAATCATTTGATCGTGATGGTCGTTTACAACTTTATGCGTCTAATGAAGGATTAGCGATTCCATACGTTTCTCCATTATTTGCTGAAAGCTTAGGTGGTTTACCACCAATATTAGTGGTAACTATTTTTCTCTACAAAAAAATTTGAATACTTTTGTGATAAATCTTGCGATGAAAAATAATTTTTTTGTTGTATAGCAAACAGGTGATATAGAAAAATTCAGAGATGAGAGTATTTATTTGGCTCATAAAGCTGCCAACCCAGAAAAATACAATTTGCCCTATTACAATGCTGAAAAATTTAAAAAGTCGCCTTATAAAACATCTACAAAAGTTGTTCTTGAAGTTTATGAAGAAATGCCTCATGTATTCCAGGTAATTTTCATAAAGTTTTAAATTTGAACAATTAATAATGATTTCGCAAAATATTAATAAATAATAATAATATCATTATTATTATTTTCAAAATAGATATTTGGGGACATCCATCCATCACCACAGATAGCTGTTAATCGAACAACTGAGTTTATTAAACGATTATTATCAGGCGAAGAAGAAGAGAAAGGATTTAAAGCTTTACGCGTAACAGCTAAAGGTGAAATCATTGAAGGATTGAAAAAAGAACATTATGAGACACTTGAATGGGAAAATATTGGTGTTGTTCCATCTAGCACCAGAAAGGTTTATTCTATTAAACCGGACAATTAACAATAAATCGTGAATGTGAGCGGGTGATGACGTTCTACTCGAGATTCCGTGTTATTTATTTATTTATTTATTTATGTAGATAGATATTTGTCGAAATCTTCATTATTTGCAATTTTATTAGCTGTTTATTTGGCTTAATCAACAACTGTTAGATATTTTTTTTTTTTTATATATATTTTATCCCAATAAATTTTTTATTTCCAATAATTCGATTGTTGCCGCCAATATGATTTTATTATTTCGCGTAGACACGAGATTCTAAGGTGAAAAGTCCGTATAAACGAGCTTTTTGCTGAGAAAATCAATGATAACTTGTTTTATTTGGCGATAGAGCTCAATCTTTGTCTAAAATAAATACAGTCAACCTCAAATTATTATATTGAGACTGAGATTGAATATTTGATTTGATTGAGATTGGATTGAAATTGAAATTTTCAATCCATGATCAAAAATTATTTTATCAAGATGATCAACAATTATTAATTAAAAATGGAATTTTACGTCTCTTTTCTCTTTTATTAATGAATTGGACCTTGAACTTACAAATACCAATGCTAATGATTTTAGTATTGATGTCTTTGTTTCTTGGTTATATACTTCAATATTTTCCTTTTTTTTTTTAAAAAAAAATTTTTTTTATTTTTATTTTTATTTATTTTGTTACCTGACCTAGATTGAAATTTCATAGTAAAATTCGATCTCAATCTCAGATCAAAATCAATCTCAATATGGAAATTTTTGAACGCAGATCGAAATCAATCTCAACCTCAATCTCAATCTAATAATTTTTGAAGGCGCCCATTCAATCTCAATCTCAATATAATAATTTTTGAAGGCACCCAATGTCAAACTGATGTTAACATTTAATCTAAATCTAATTTTTCCCATTCTACTTTGCATCCAAATCAATGAATACAATGAATACTTATTATACTACTTTTTTTATTTATTTACCAAGTTTAAGAGTAGTGAGGAGAGGAAGCAGCAAAAGTAATTTTAGGAGAATATTTATTGTAATAATAAAAATTTATTTATTACTACATTTCATTACAGAATAGGAACAGATCCACCTTTTCGGTGTTGAAATAGATTTCCGGGTAAAACTCCTTAAATGATGACAATGACGATACTTACATAATAAAAAATATCATGTAAATTAAAGATACTGGCAAACAAACAATTAACTCATTTTTATTTTTTTTTAGAAAAAAAAAATTTTAAATATCAAAGAAAAAAATAATGTCAAAAAAGTAAATAAATAGTATTATTATTCAATTTTTTCGCCATGTTTAGAACCAGTTGATCCTTTAGATTCTAGATGTTTATTAGTAAATGACAACGATGAAGATGGTGTTTTATTTAGATATTCTCTTAGAACAAGACTTGGCCAATTTATAAATTCCGTCCCATTATCTTTTATAAATCCGATAAGTCCAATAATAACAACAAGATTTAAAAAAATTAAAAATCTAACAAGGTACAAGTAATAACCTAAATTTAAAAAATTATAATAATAGTAATTATTATTATTATTTAATGATGAAACATTGAAATAAATTATATTTGTAATAATCTATTTATTTACCTTCGGATTTTGGAGTTGCTAATAAATACAACATGAATATTAAACAACCTAAAAGTACTTGTGGAGTCTAAAGAAGATTAATAAAAATAAAGTAATCAATAAAAAATTATTTCTATTTTTAAATTAAAAAAAACCAAAAATTTTCATCCTATTTACATATTTTATTTGCAAAGATTTCGCCTCTCTAGTAAAAGGTGAATGATCGTTCAATTTCACCTCATAATTGCCCAAAAACAAATCATATGCATCCTAAATTTAATTAAAATAAATAAGTAAACACACATACATACAATTACAAGTATTTAATATTATATAAAATAAAATTATATTTGCTTTACTTGTTTCGTTCCGTCTTTAAAATTATTTAACACATATCTAAGTATTCCATTTTGTAAATCTAGTGCAGCACCTAATTTTGTTCTTTTTCCAGTTCTAATATAAATAATACATATTATACTTTATCTAATAACTTTATCACCTTGATGAAAAATTAATGATAAAATTGTTAACTTAATTACCTAGTATAATCAGTTTTTTGCGCACCAGTACCAGCATAAGGTAAGCTGACAGCATCAGCGTTATCAGCCCAAACTAATTTAAAAAAAAAATTACATCAAGACCAAGAGCAATAATGAATGTTATTAATTTTTTACTATTAATGATTTAAATATAAATATTTTTACCATTTCTAAATAAACCCATAAACTCGTTAAACTCATCAATATGTTGATTACTACTCAATATTCCTATCTCACGTAATTGTTGAGTTAACACCCACTTTGAAAAAGTTGATTGAACAACATTTGTACGATCAAGGCAATCCATGCAATTAGTACGAATAACAGCTGTTTGAGTTTTATAGACTGAGATAGTTGAATTAGTTTCCTCTCCATGAAAAAATCTTAATTAATACATATATATTTAAATTATTAGAAAAAATACATTTATATTTAATTTTGTAAAGTAATAATTAATAATAAAGATTCAATAAATACCAACCCTTTTTGTAATAAATCTTCTTCCATGCTATCAAGTAAAAATTCAACCCTATCCCATCTCATATTTCGACATTCATGATGAAAATCAAAATGATGATATTTTATTTTAGGGTCATTTAAATTATTAACAACTTTTCGATATGTTTCACCAACTGGATATTCATATCCTTTCTTATTAAGAAGATTAATAATAAATTGATCTCCATACAATTTAATCTGTTCATCAAAATGTTTACGTGCAGATTCATTCTATAAAAATAAACCAATTAAAATAAATAGATATTTTTAACTGTATAAATATTTATTATATTTATGTTATAACATACCATATGTGGTGAATCCGCGACTTGTAATTTTGGTGTATAGTGTAAATTATTGATTTGAGCCCAATAAATTGGAACAGAACCACGAGTTTGTACATAAGATAAATGTATTTTTCCTTCAAAGGCCGTATCATTATATCCGTCCTTGATGGGATCAAGTAAAACTATTTGCTCAGTCTCATTATAATTAGAAACATTGCCATCTTTATCGATACCACGTGAGAAAAATCGTGTTCCTAGCTTTCCAAAAATAAAAAATTAATTATATCAATATTAAAAAAACCACACTTGTTAATTTTTTTTTAAAAAAAAAAATACTTAAAGAATTACATACCAGCACGAAATCTACTTCGACGAGTTATAAGAGAAAACACTACGTCTCTATTATTTATTTTTGACGAGTGAATTGAAACAACTAAAAATAAAATAAACCGTTTTAATGATTTAACCAAACTAAAAAAAGCCAAAAATTTATAAAACTTACATCCAAAAATAATGGGCAAAATAAAATTACTCGACTAAAAATCAATTGAAATCAATTAACTAATATTTTTAATTAAATAGTTGATTGATTGGTTATATATAACATCTTTAAATAAACTTTACGTCTTGATCAGGATTTTTGATTGTAAAATCAATTAATTTTGACTGCACATAACGATTCCAAAAAAACCTATCATCTGCCTATTATTATATATAAATGAATATTTTAGAAATTATTCTCGTTAATAATAGAAAATAGAAAACACAACACATATATGTATTACCCTTTGCCATGTTGGTCTTGTAGCTAAATCACCTAGCTGTGCTTGTCTTTGCATGCTGTGAGTTAGATCGTATGTGTATGAAAAATAAAATTTTCCATGTTTAAGATGATTTACAATCAACGATAAATATATTTTTTCATCTTGAACCTAATAATCACATTTAAATCTTTAAGTTGCTCTATTTAAATAATTTTTCCTCGTAATGATAAATAATAATAATTAATTTACTTGAGATTCTGATAGGTGAAGACTGTTTCTAGCAAAAGGTAAAATACGAAATTGATTTGCTTGGAAAACATTATGTTTTCCTAATCTACCAACAGGCTCACGACCAGTGATAACAATAAGATATTCGCCTATTTAATTGTATTCATGTTTATAAATACATGTGTGCGAGTTGATATAATTTTTGAACAATTTATACTTGCCAGAAATTAATTTAATAAAGCCAAATATTCCATAAATTGTAAAAGTTTCAATGGTTGTGGTTGGTAACGATGGATCTAAAATTTAAAATAGTTATAATTAAAAATTGTTTAATTTTCCTTTGCAGGTCAATGTTTATAAATAACCTGTACTAAGTGACAGTGCACCAGTTTCTCTATTAATAATCAAAGCTTGAGCAAGGGTTTTTGAATCAAAATAATTGGGCACAATAGTATATGAATTATCTGTTGCATGTCTAAATCATAAATTATTTTCGTGAATTTGTCTTTATTAAATTAAATTAACATCAATCAAAATAAGCTAAGCTTACAAATTTAAAGACTCGTGTATCATCATCATCTTGTTTACAAACAAATATAATTTTTAACGAAGAATTTTTTTGAAGATTGCACAGAAAATCTTTTCTTATTACAGATGATCATTTTCGTTCAATTCCTGTGTTTCCTTCGCTAACAGACAGACGTGTATTTTTTCTTTCAGAATTTTCAATGATAATATAAATTAATAAATCGCGTAATTTTTATAATAACTTCCCTTTACAACAATTCAAAAAAAAAATACTTTTTTAATACTAATGCTAAGTAATAACAACCATCGTGAGTAATAATTTTTTTTGCGAGTGTTCTTTAAGTATTTATTCAAGTTTATGCAAAATTAACATTAAAGTTTTCAAAAATTTTCTTTTTAGAGTTAATAATGGAAGACAAAATTGACGTAATAAATTTTTTTGCCAAATATTGTATTTACTCTAGAGTTATATCAATTAAAAAACCTCGATTTTTTAATTTTCTTTATTATATACATACATACATACATACGTACATTTATACTCTCTTATTTTTTAGACATTTGAAGAGGATGATGAATTTGCGTATCTTGATGACCTTTTATTGAATACTGAGAAATTGGAGTATAAATCATCTTCAAGGTTAGTTGTTTCCAGAAGCCATGAAAGAAATTTACTTAATTGATGCTAATTGTATATATTGAATGTTTGTAGTATTGGCTTAGATAATAGTTTACGCAGAAGTGAACGTTCCAGAAAACCTAATGTTAAAGAAGGTTATGTTTCCACTGTTGAAGCTGTACCAACGAGAGGCGAAATTCCAATCTTGGAAAGATTTAGGTCAAGCTCAAATTCAAGTTTCAATAAAATTTGTCAATATTCATTAACTTCACTGCTTCGTGAGAAAAAAAGACATGAAAAAATTGGGTATGATCTTTCTGTATTGGAACAAGTTATTAAGGGCGGAATCGTATGTATTTGATACATTTATTATGGACAAATGGAAATGATTATGATGTTCAGTTGTTTTTACTTTATGATAAATAGGAACTTGAAAATGAAGACCCATTTGATACATATGATCGAACTTTAATTTCTACTACTTTATTAAAAGATGATGAACAAAAAGAGCAAAAAGTTGAATATTTACAACAGGTATTTGAAATTTTCCATTCCATTCCGTTTTGTTTGCATTACATTGATTTATCATTTTTCTCATTAGCTTTTTGAGGAAGAGAACGAGATGGATACTTATTACCAATTAGATTTTTTCCAGAAGTTGAATAAAGTAATTATAATTTATTATATATAAAGATAAATAGACATAGATCTTTGATTTTTTTCCCCCATTTTAGCCTGGTTGATAATTATGTAAAAAAAATGGGTTTTACCTGATAGAAACCACCGAAACCTTCTCTTAAGACTACAAGATTAGATGCTATATTTACGTTTTTATCTAGGGCTGCATCAGGTAGGATCTCGAATTGATTTCTTGACTAAAGTCTGAAACATTAGTATTCATGTCTAATATTATTGCATTGTTTTATTTATAATTGTAGATAATGAAAAGTTAAAAGAAGTTTTATGCAATGATTGGATCGCTCAACAATACCAATTAGGATGGGAAATGCCGAATGAAGTTGTTTTTTGGCTACTTGAAACAGGTTAATTGCATACCTGAATATTTTAAATGAGTGACTTCGTTTTTTTGCTTTTATCATATTAATCAATTGATTAATTAATAACTTTTAGCAAGTTTCCACAATGATTTATTTATTGCAGAAGCAGCTTCAAATACTTTAAAAAATATTACAGAAATTTATGCAAGTATCGTTTATATATAAATAAATATGCATCATGTATATGTATATAGATTTGTGAAAATTTTTACTTATGTTTATCACATACTTTTTATTTATTTATTTATTTAGAAGCAATATAAACATAAATCAAAAAATAAGATTAAAAATATCGAATTGCCTTTTGATAAAGTGTACGACATATTTAAAAAATATGGAGCCTCTCCTGACCTCCTTGAGATTCAATGTTCACTGGAGGATAAATATAAAAAATATGAAACCGATAGTAATATTTTTTTTCCTCAATGATTGAGTCAATTGATGATCATACATGCAATAATAACATTATTAATATTAATATTATCATTATTTACTGCTGTTGTTTACTAGCATCACTTTCAGAATTTCCTTATTTGGCTTTGTTTCGGTTATCGCTAAAATCAATTATATCATTGGTTGATGTGGGGTAAGAGCACAAGTTATAAAATGATAAATGATGACATTGTTACAACTAATAAAGGCTAATTAATTACATTCATATAACATTTAGATGGTTAATGTTTAAAGATGTGGAAGAGATTCGAACTGCAATTGTTATCATTCTTCGTTTATGCTTAGATGCTAGATTGATACAAACTTATAGTATGATTGAACAATTGATCAGCTCCCTTTTAAACTTAATACCAGATGATGAGTGGATTCAGCAAGTAAGATATTGATAAATATATCGGTGGATATAATTATGTAGATGTAATAATTTGTCTAAAATACTAACACTAACACTAATACAAAAATTATTTACTTACTGATTAATTAATTAATTAATATTGACTAGTTGAAATTATTGTGTGAAGATATTACTTCATTGTGTGCCACGAATTCCTTATCTTTCCAAATTGCTACTATCGACAGTTTGCCCGCTTCATCTCGTGGACTTTTATTGAAACAGGTGCTATCATTGAAATGTTTATTTGTTATGGCGAAATCAACATCCTTTAAATTATCCAATGTAAGCAATTTTTTGAATTAGTATTTTAGATATAACAATATAATTCATATTTACATGTACACTAATACATTTTTATTAACGGTTAACTAGTTAAATTTATCTAAACCATCACTTATAAAACCGATATGGGACTTATTTCATAAATCTGATGTTTTCAAAATTGGGGACGATACAAATTATAAAGATTTATACGATATGATAATTTTAATCAGTTATGTGATTGATGATATTGATCAGATAAAAGCTGAAGAGGTAAATTGATAATTCTTTTTAGATTTATAAAACGACTTGCGAGATGAATCATGAGATGAAAAAGAGAGTAGATTAATAAGATTTTTATAACATTTATATTTTTGTGTAAAGAATTTTGTCAAGGAAATTATCGAAAAACTGAAACGTTTATATGGGAGAATAAGTAAATTTTATTTATTTTCATTGATAAGTTAATTCATTCTCATCATTCTCATCTTTCTCATACACCTTTTATACATTATTCAGACGATACAAAGGCTGCATTTTTGGATAGAACAAAAGTATTATTATTATTTGCTTTGATACAATAATATAATGTAATAACTATTCTAACTCATATATATCTATACTTCTATGATTTATTTATATATTAGACAAAAGATATTATGTTAAATCTTTATATGCGCCTTCACTATATAATCTATCATAAACGTGAAAGAACACAAATCGATGCGTTTTACATTCCACAGCAAAAGAAGAAACAAAAAACAATTCAATAAAATTATAAAGAAAAACCTTTACTAATTCTATATATATATGTAACTTTTTATAAATATCAATAAATATTTCTTCAACTATTATTATTATATTAATATTAATGATAAAACACCAGATGTCAAAACAATTATGAAATATTTCTAAAGATTTAAATATTTTTTTTCTTATAAATGTTATCGTTTTAATGGTTAACAAAGTAAATTAACAACAAAAAAACAAAACATGGCAAGTATTGACAAGAGTTGGAATAAAGCTATAAGGAATATACACGATAGGTTAAGTCAACCTCGATATGCCGAGCCACTATCAACCGATTTTCGCTTTATAACGATACAAAATTGGTTAACCAAAAACATAATGAAATTGCTAAATTTAATATAGTTTGGTAAACCAAGATTTTATGTTGATGATTGATTATGGGAAGAATTTGAGCAAAAAGCGAAAGAATTATCAGAAAAAATCCAATTAAATATTGATAATAAACCAAAATTTTGGCACAAATCATTTGATCGTGATGGTCGTTTACAACTTTATGCGTCTAATGAAGGATTAGCGATTCCATACGTTTCTCCATTATTTGCTGAAAGCTTAGGTGGTTTACCACCAATATTAGTGGTAACTATTTTTCTCTACAAAAAAATTTGAATACTTTTGTGATAAATCTTGCGATGAAAAATAATTTTTTTGTTGTATAGCAAACAGGTGATATAGAAAAATTCAGAGATGAGAGTATTTATTTGGCTCATAAAGCTGCCAACCCAGAAAAATACAATTTGCCCTATTACAATGCTGAAAAATTTAAAAAGTCGCCTTATAAAACATCTACAAAAGTTGTTCTTGAAGTTTATGAAGAAATGCCTCATGTATTCCAGGTAATTTTCATAAAGTTTTAAATTTGAACAATTAATAATGATTTCGCAAAATATTAATAAATAATAATAATATCATTATTATTATTTTCAAAATAGATATTTGGGGACATCCATCCATCACCACAGATAGCTGTTAATCGAACAACTGAGTTTATTAAACGATTATTATCAGGCGAAGAAGAAGAGAAAGGATTTAAAGCTTTACGCGTAACAGCTAAAGGTGAAATCATTGAAGGATTGAAAAAAGAACATTATGAGACACTTGAATGGGAAAATATTGGTGTTGTTCCATCTAGCACCAGAAAGGTTTATTCTATTAAACCGGACAATTAACAATAAATCGTGAATGTGAGCGGGTGATGACGTTCTACTCGAGATTCCGTGTTATTTATTTATTTATTTATTTATGTAGATAGATATTTGTCGAAATCTTCATTATTTGCAATTTTATTAGCTGTTTATTTGGCTTAATCAACAACTGTTAGATATTTTTTTTTTTTTATATATATTTTATCCCAATAAATTTTTTATTTCCAACATTTCTTAAAAATGCCGCATACGTTTTTTATTTAATGCTACACTAGTGTTCTGAAAAATATACATTATCATCATATTCCTTTACCAGGCTTCGTATAGATGCCTTTTAATGCTAATTTATATGCAATATTGGTGTCACTTATCTTCTTTTTCTCAGTTCCGGTCAATTTTCATTATAATTAACAAAGCTCTCCTTCTGGAATGTTCTCCATACTAAGAAATGCCAAAAAAAAATCTATTCGTGATTAAAAGAGCCATCTTTTGTTTATAATTAAATATTGCTTAGGAACTTACTTCTTTATGATCCTTCTTTTCAACATTAAAATTATTGTTTCCTATTTGAGCACCTCCCGAAAATGTATTATCGTAAATGTTAAATGTGGATCTATTACCGCCTGATTTACGTTTTCCCAATCTTTGGCAACAAAGGATTTTAGTGGCATGTTTACAATTTACTATCCACGCCCAATTACTCGTAGCCTTGAACACATCCAACCTAGATCCCTGTGCCCCAACACTTGTTTTGTGGCTCAGCAAACAGCCTTGAATGACGGCAACCTAGTAAGCCGTCACGCTACTTTTATTCCAAATAAAACAAATCGCTTGCTTTTTTGTATTCATCTAAAAGTTTTTGTGCCCTTTTTTGTCGGTCACCTTACTGATTTTTTCAAGAGATTTGAGTAGGGTTGTATTCACGATACGAATACCGTTAAGCGGGAGAGCCACACGCAATTAAATCAGCAAAAAACCCCTCAACCGCCACAGGACATTCCCCCCCGACCCATCGGCGGTGCT